AAGTAAATTATTGTTCTTATTGTATGTCTTCAGAAAAGTGCACACATCTTCAGTGTACAGGTAGAGGAATTTTCACAATGTGAACACACCTGTGCAACCAGCACCTACATCAGGAGATAAAATATTCCTAAAAGGAGTGTTTCCTAGGCACAGGGTTTCTGTTTTACCAAATGAAAAGAATTCAAGTGATGGCGGTAATGCCACATATGTTATGTACTTAATGCCACCGATCTGTATGCTGAAAAACTGGTAAATTGGGCATGGTGGCTCATGTCTGTAATCCCAGCTACTAGAGAGGTTGATTGAGGCAGGGGAATCATAAGTTCAATGTCAGCATGGGCAACTTAGTGAGACTGAGCTCACTAGCATGTGCAAAGCCTTGGGTTCAATTCCCAGAAACACACACACACACACACACACACACACACTCACAAGACAAAAAGGTTAAGATGGTATATTTTATGCTGTGTATATTTTACCACAATGAAAATTTTTATTAAAATTAAATGACTCAAGAAGTTAAGTGCCTGCCTAGCAAGCACAGAGCCCTGAGTTCAACCCCCAGTACTGCCCAAAAAATTTTAATTAAAAAAAGAAACTTAGAGCCTGGAGATGTAACTCAGTGATACAGTGCTTGCTTAGCATGCACAGGGGTTCAATCTCCAGCACCGAAATAAAAAATAAATATTTTAAAAATACTCCCAGTCCCTTGGAGTTTCCTACAGGTCTTCCCAAAGCCAAACACTGTCCTGATTAGTTTTGGCCCATTTGAACCTTACATAAGTGGTATCATACAGTATTGTGATAGTCCAGAACCACGACCCCAAAGATGTCCACATGTAATCCCTCAGAATCTCTGAATCTGTTACCTTGCACTGCATAAGGGATTCTGCAGATATATTAAGGTAAGGACCCTGGGATAGGGAGATTATCCTGGATTGTTCAGGTGAACAAAATACCATTACAAAGGTTCTCATAAGAAGGTTGCAGGGCTGGTGGAATGGCTCCAGTGGTAGAATGCATGTCTAGCAAGCATGAGTTCAAACCCCGGTACTACCAAAAATAAATAAACTGCCAGGAGCACACATGCCTTTTAGTTAACAGATGCATGTATTTCTGCTGCACATATGTAGGAATTAAATGGCTGTGTCCTAGAACTTACGTATATAGTAGATGCTGTTGTATTAGAGTCCCTTGGGACCTATTCCCCCAGCTGCTGGAAAGGCTGCTAGCTGACCATCCACTGCTCACTGAGGACCTCTTCCCAGGGGTAGCCTGTATCCTCTCAATGCCTGGCTGATCTGTACATAAAGGGAATATAAAGACCCCCTTTTCATTGCCACTGTGAATAGCTTGGAAAGGTCACCTGAGATTCAGTGCTCTTCAGAGATTAAGGGAAGATTTTGTTGGAATGGACCCAATCCACCTCTCCCTGCTTCTTCCTTGTCTTCCCTGGAGAGCACTCCCTCATCAGCTTCCTGCACACTGGTCTCCATCTTGGGACCAGGAGTCTGGAATCCAGCCTGCCACAGCCCATGTTCTGCCTTCGTGAATCTTGCCCAGATGTATATTCCCACCAGCAATGCGAGCTTTTCAGATGCTCAACATTCTTGTTAAACTAGATATTCTCCGTCTTTTAAGATTAAAATAAAAACTTAGCCACTGTGTTAGGTGAGTAGTGTGTTAGTTGTCTGTCATCACAAATACTTGACATAATCAACTGCTATGATTTGAAAGTGTCCCCAGAGACCCATGTGCTAAAGGCTTGGTCACCAGCCTGTACTGATATTGGGAAGTGGTGGAACCTTTAAGAGGCAAGGCCTAATGGAAGGAAGTCAGGTTATTGGGGCGTGAATTTAAAGGGAATATTGGGAATGGGCTCCTTCTCATCTCTTTTTGCTTCCTGACTGCCATGAGGTAAACAGTGTGCTCGACCAGGCACTTCAACCATGATGGTGTGCTGCCTTGCCACAGGCCCAAAGGCAAGGGGAGGAAGCAACCATAAACCTTTCCTCCTTATAAGTTGACTTATCTCAGGTATTTGTCAGAGCAATGGAAAGCTGACGATGTTACTTTTCGTTGTTGTGACCTAAATATCTGATATAAACAATTTAAGGGAGGAAGGATCTATTTCAGAGGGTTCAGTCCATGGTTGATTGGACAAGTACAATTGGCCAGAACACCATGGCAACTAGAATCTGTGGCAGAAGCTGTTCTTTCCTTCTTGGCAGACAGGAAGCAGAGATGGGGCAGGGGACAAGATTTACCTCCACAAGAACACACCCTTAGCGATTTCCTTCCTCCAACTAGACCCCACCTCCTACCTTTCACCATCTTCCACCAATAATACCATAGCATGAGTCCATCAAGGGATACAATAGGTCAGAGCCCTCATGAATTGTCATCACAAACCCACCCAGAGGTGTGCTTTACTTATTTCTCAATACAATAAAGTTGGTGGTTAACTGTCACATTTATAAAGAGAAAAGGTTTATTTTGGTTCACAATAGGTTGGTTCCTGTTGCTTTTAGACCTCTAGCAAGGCATCTCATCATAGTGGGGATGTGTGGAGGAACAAAACTCATCACCAGGCAGTAACGAGAACAAGGAAAAGGCACAGGCCCAAAATCCCCTTCAGTGACCTAAAGACTTCCTACTAGGCTCGCCTCTCAAAGGTTCCACCACCTCCCAACAGCACCACTCTTGGAATCAAACCTTTAACATATGGGGCTATGGAAGGATCAAAAGTGGAAAGGGGTAGTTTAAAGCTGAAGGAGAGCTGGGCGAAGTGGTGCACGCCTGTAATCCTAGTGCTCAAGAGGCTGAAGGAGGAGGATTGCGAGCACAAGGCCAGCCTGGGCTACATAGGGAGACCCTGTCTGGGAAAAAAAAAAAAGCTGAGGAATGGACTCGGGGTATGAGTGCCTGCCTAGCAAGCATGCAGTCCTATGTTCAAACCCTAGAACTGCCAAAAAAAAATGAAAGGAAGGGAGGGACGGTGGGGGGGGGAAGGAAGGAAAAAAGGAGGGAAGGAGGAAGGAAGGAAGGAAGGAAGGAAGGAAGGAAGGAAGGAAGGAAAAACTGAGGGCTGCTGAGTGGTTGGCTACAGGCCTCACACAGCCATCACACCTGTCTCAGGTGTGACTGCTCTGTACAAGCCACATGTGATCTCCATGCCGTTGGAGTCAGGTGACAACTGCCCTGAGCACACTGCATAAATCACCTATACTGTTTTGTCAGTGTAACTACCAGTTTGGGGTCCAGCTCTGGGCTGCCCACACCACGCCTTCCCTGCTCCTTCTGGATGGTGGGGGAGGGGGCCTGTTCTTTCCCAGCAGCCCCAGTCTACTCCCAGAGAAGTTCAGAAGCTTTGCTGCAGATGCAGGTCACATGGGCTGATGGGATTGGGGTCCACAGAGCTGCATTTTGTCTAGGAATGAGTGTGTGGTGAGGGCAGCAAGAAAAGGAACCCAAAGATCCAGGTGCAATTTCTTCTCCAACTTCTCCTACCTACATCTCCCTGAGTAGCTGCGATTTCAGAGATGCACCACCACAACTTCTTTATTGAGATAGGGGTCTCAATAACTTTTTTTTTTTTTTTAGCTCCATCCTCCTGATCTCTGCCTCCAGAGTAGCTAGGATTGCAGGTATGAGCTGCAGCTCCTGGACTGAAATATTTTTATGGTGAAAGAGTGTAATTTAGCATTAGCCAGCTAAATTTAGTTTATATGATCCCAGTTGGGATTTTGTTTTTGTTTTTAGCGATGCTGGGGATTGAACTATCATTGTGGATTAATTTGCATGTGCCTGATGACTAAATAAGTTGAGAATCTTGTTACATGTTTACTGGATCATTTGTCTTTTTGCTTTGCTTTGTTTTTGCTTTCCATTACTGAGGACTGAACCCAGGACCCCACACATGCTAGGCAAGTTCATTACCACTTGAGTGACACCTTTGGTTTGTATTTTGTTTTTGAAATAGGATCTCACTATCTTTGCCCAGGCTGGCTTCAAACTGCCCATCCTCCTGCTTCAGCCTCCTGAGTAGCTAGGATTACAGGTATGTACCATCACACTCAGCTCTAGTCAGGTATTTTGCTCATTTTTCTTCTGTGTCTGCATGCCTTTTCCTGGGAATTTGCAGGTGTTCTTTCTGTATTCTGGATTCGAGTTCTTTGTTGGATATACTGCAACATATATTCAGAGTGCCACCTATGATGGGTGTCAACAAAAATGAGTTACATGAATACTTGAGCATTCTCTCTTTAAGGGAAGAATGCTTGAATAGTGAAACCGTGTGGTTTTATTTATCTATTTATTTTTGTGGTACTGTGGCTTGAACTCAGGGCCTACATCTTGAGCCACTCCACCAGCCCTTTTTTATGTTGGGAATTTTCGAGATAGGGTCTCACAAGTTATTTGCCCAGGCTGGCTTTGAACCGTGATCCTCCTGATCACTGCCTCCTGAGTAGCTAGGACTTCAGGCGTGAGCCACCGGCACCCAGCAAGACACAACTGGATATAGGATATGGGTCCCAAGGAAAGACAGAACCTTAAAGAGAAAGGCCCAGAATGTAAGTAACACACCCTCAAACTTCACTGCTCCAAGCCTGCGGTTTCTGGCCACACGCTTTTAAAACACTCAAGTTCATGAAGGTAATTATAAACTAATACCATTCAAAGGATGTCCACAGGAGGTGTAAATGGGCCAGCCTGTTCCATGAGCTAAGGTCCAGCTGTGAACGATCCTTACGTCCAGGAGATCCAGAAGAGACAGGTAAACCAAATAACTCAGACGCACCTAAACTGAAGAAGTCGGACTTGGGGGAAAAGCAGGATGAGGGGGTTAAACCCGATCCCACAACTCCCAAAGCAGGACACCAGGAAGGTCCCGGTCTTCGGCCCCGCCTCCAGCTTTGCATACGCCTCCTGATTGGCCAGGGGCGGCCGGCCCCACCCCGCGGAGCTGGCGGCTGGGGAAGCTGCGGACCAGCCCCGCCAAGATGCAGCGGCGGCTCCGGGTGTTGCCGGGCGGTTTGGGGACAGAGCGGCCGGGAGCCGGGCAGGGGGTGCCCGCCGCGGCGCCCACGCTCTCCTAGTGCCCCAGACCTGCCAAGCGGGTCCAAGCCTTCTCTCCCGCCGTCCCGCTCGCCGTCCCCACCCCAGCGCCCTTTGTGCCGTTGCTGCCCCGCGACCCCGGCTCCGCGAGACCCGGGCCGGGTGGAACCGCGGCGGTGCGACAGGCCCCGGGTGGGCGCCCGGCGCTTGGCCGATGGCGAGGGAGCGCAGCGCGGGTAGGGGCGCTGCAGCTGGAGTCCGCGTCGCGGGAGGCTCGGCCCGCCTCCGCCGCATTGTCCCGGGCCCCGCGCCCCGGCCCTAAGCTGCGCCGCCGCAGCGCCCGCCCACCGCCGCCCGCGGGGCCATGCGGAGAGCGGCCGGGATGGAGGACTTCTCCGCAGAGGAAGAGGAGCCCTGGTACGACCAGCAGGACCTGGAGCAGGGTAAGCGCGTGGGGGAGGGAAGCGGGGTGTGCCCTGCGACCCCTGTCCGCTACTCCATTGTTGGGCGGGACCACCCCGGGAAGGGCAGGACTGGACCTGGTGCTGCTTTCCCGACTGAGAGCAGCGATGCGTCTGGAGAATGGGGACACACAGAGAGGGTCACTGCCTGGGGAGACCCCGACCGGGCGGAGGGAGACCTACAAAAGTGCGGGGGGTGATCTCTATTTCTCCACTCTACCTGGCATCCGTCATCCAGCTCGCCCACTCATCTTAGGCAGCAACTGCCCAGGTACCCCTGGTAATATTAGGGGGCCTTGGTACTAGCTGGAAGTCTTTGTGGGGGGCAGCAAGGGGCTCCTGGTATGCTTTGCTGAGAGCATGTTGTGTGTGTACGGAGACGTCACCTCTCCAAATCCAGCAGCACCTGGATTTCTGAGCGCTAAGACTCCCAGAAAGTTTCCCCAACTGCCTTCCCTCTTCCCAGGGAGGAGGGGTGCGGGAACCATGCCGGCTAAGACGCAGAAAGAGGAGTCTCCAATCTGCCTTCGTGAAGGAGGAATCGCCTAGCCTTTCGCTTCCCAGGGCCCCCTCCCAAATGGTTTACTATGTGGAGCGAGTGGGGTTTGGGAATTCCAGACAATGTGTCAAATTAAAGCCCAAGTAAAGAGGGAGTCATCTCTACCCTCTTATCATCTGAGGACCAAGAGGGCGACTGGAAGGGGGTTAGAAGCTGGCGATGAGGTGGCCATAGTGACATCACTGGGAAGAGGGGCGGGGCTGTTGGGACAGGAAGGAGGAGGCCTGAGAGGGTCAGGGCCAAGGCCTGCTGCAATAGTCAAATCCCATCTCTCCTCCGTCAAGGTGCCTCATTCTTAGACGCTGAGAGCTGGAAGGGTCAGGAAACACGTTCAGGGAGATGCGAACTTCCCAGTCATCTGCAAGCCTGGAGGGACACAAGCCTGGTGCGCTGGTGCCATCGTACCCTGGTCTCGGTCCCTGAGGCCCCAGAGCGCTGGCTTTTCCCAGATAGGAAGCATCCACCCAGATCCTGGAGCCTTTGTTAACCTGCCCTGACCCACTTCCCCAGACAGCCAAGATTCATGGGCAGATGAGGCTCTGTCCTTGTGCTTAGGACTGTGCTGGATTAATCAGAGCCTTGGGAGACCCATGTGGGATGGAGGGTCTCACAGCAGGTTAGACTCTGCTGTGCTCTATCCTTTGGATATAGACTCAGCCTCCCTGCAGTGATGCCCCACACTGGCTGTGGCAACCCCCTTTCTCCCCCAAAACTTTTCCATTCCACAAACACCTTTGGGCCCCTACTTGAGTGCCAGACACTATTCTGGGAGCTGGAAATAGTCACTACCTCTAGGTATACCTGGGTCATTGGAGGAGGTAACTAAGTGTAGGTGACACAGCATGGTGGGATGACTTCCTGGAAGAGGCAGTCTTAGAAGAAAAGATCTGATGCTGAGTTCCAGGGAAGATGGCCTCTGGGGGAAGCAGATGCAGATGCTGTTGGCGTCTCATTTAGCTCCAGCAACCCTGATGAAAGCTTGGCACTGTGCCCAGTCCAGATGTGGGAGGAAGGAACCAGGGACCAGGGGCGGGAGATATGCAGCTTCTGGAGAGGGAAAGGAATTGAGATTCCAGCTGGGTTGAGTAGCTATGCTCCAGGGCCTGGTGGGGGATGGGTCCTCCTGGCCCCTACTGCTCAGGCCCTGTTAGTGTGCTGCTGCTGGTCTGCCTGACTCAGAGCCCAGAAACAAAGGTGGGGGGGAAGGGGGGCAGCAATGAGACAGTCTGGGAAGAAACTGAAGCTTCCCACCAAAAACCCAGATGGCTGTTTGCCATGGGCCAGGTGCTATGCTGAGTCTGGGGACATAATCTCTGCCTTCAGGGGACCCCACATTCCAGCAGAGGAGACAGAAATGGGATCAAACTAACAACTATGTCACAATCTGAGGGATTCTGCAACCTTCTCCACTGAGACAGTGAGAGCAGAGACTCAGAAAGGTTTGAGCTGGGGTGAATGGAGGAAGGAAAAGGAAGGGACACTTGTACCAAGGCCTGGAACCACATGAAAGACTGGAAAGGAGATGGGGGGAGTCAGAGGAAGTCCCAGGCCCAGCTACTGAAGCATGCGCGCGCACGCGCACACACACACACGCACACACACACACACACACACACACACACACACACAGGCACACACGCCCGCCCTGGGGGCCAGGAGAGCTGGATGGAACACAGTCAAAGGGAAGTCACATTGGAGGTCAGGTGCCTGTTACATCCCCCTTCCCTCCACCCAGTCTCCAAATTCTCTTCTGTCCAGCCGCTCCTAGGTTGCCTCTGGGTATCCCAGCCTCTCACCAAGTCACCTGGTTCCCTCTGTGCCTGTTTTTCCCTGGGGGCAGACCCCAACTTCACTTTCCAAAGGATTGGCCCTAAAGATCCTGTTTGACTTTGTGACTCTGTCCCAATGGAAGGAAGTGGTTGGGACAGGCAAGGTCCCAGAGTTGCTGTGTTCACTCTGCCCACTGCCATGAGCACCTGTAAAAACAGAAAAAGCCATGAATTATTAAGCGTTTCTTTTCTCTCTTTCCCAGTCTCGAAATGTAGTCCAAGCTGGCTTTGAACTTCCAATTTAAGGCTTCTTTTCAAAGATCCTCTGGTCCCCTAGCCATCCCCTCTCAGGTCTCTGGAGCATTGCCTCATGCAAAACCACTAAAGCCCCCCTGAAGGAGACCTCAGGAAACCCCAAGGAGAGTAGGTGTCAGCCCGAGACTCTGCCTTCTCTGGCTTGGTGCAGTGTGGCCTGTCACTATGACCATAATAGGCTGTTTGTCACTCTATGCCTATATCCTGCTTAGCCAGATCCCATGTTCTTCTGATCTCAGGTCACCCTTCCCTGAGCCTGGAGCCAGCACTGGCCCTAAGCAAGCTGGTGTCCTCTAACACATGGCTTCTAGAGCAGGAGTCTAGAAGTCCCCTGCTCTGGAACTTCTAGACTCCTTCTGTGACCCCCTCCTGGTGGCTTTGACCAGCTTAGCTCACACTGTGATCCAGTTTCCCTGAATCAATCTGAGATTTCCCCCTCTATTCCAAATGACTTCCACTGTGTTTCTGTTCTTCCTCATCCCTGAATTACTAGGGTGATCTGCAGGTAACATGGCAGCCTCTGATGTCCCCTGTTCATGGTGGGGTAGACACTGCCCCAGCCTTCGGGCTGAGGGTATCACACAGCCCAGATGCTCACCGGTAGGAGGAGCATGATGGTGCAGCTGCACCTGGCTATGAACACTTGCCCCTTTGACACTGGCCTTGGACTCTGTGCTGAAGTTGCTGGGGCTCCACACAGGCCACCCATGTACAGCAAAGTATCGAAAACAGTGGCCTCTTTGCAGGCTGCCTAGCAATTCCCAATGGGGAAGCATTCTGGAGGATGGCCGCTGTTCTTTTACATTTCTGCCCGAGTTATTGGCTACGGGTGGAAATGAGCTGAACGCTTGCCATCGTTATGGAAATGGGACCAGGAGTGATCTTTGCCAGACCCCTAGTTACTGCCAAGCACACAGTATACATACCACAGGCTTGGAGTTCAACGATTGTAACATGACGCCTCCAGACTTTGGCCCAACTTACAGTTAATAAATTCACACAAGTGTCGTCATTCCCTTAATAGGTTTTGTTAGGTAACTAGTTTTTGGCATCTTCATCAGCAAGTTAATTGCTTGAGGCCAACAGTTCTAATCTGTGAGTTATAGGATTTAGTTTTGTTTTCTTTAGGAAAGCTGTTTTTGTTTTTCTAGGCTGAGTCTTTGCAGCCTGGCTCTATGGGAGCAGCAGTGTTTTGCTTCCACAGTGACACCTGGACACAGGGCCTCCTATTGGTTTAGGTCCAGCTATAGAGGTCCCACTCTGGCTATTTCAAAATCTCATCTCTATGGACTAGAGGATGTGGCTCACGTGCCAGAGCACCTGCCTAGAGAACATGAGGCCTTGAGTTCAAACCCCACAAAACAAAAACAAAACAAAACAAAACAAAAACCTCACCTCTGGGTGTGAGAGCAGACCCTAAGTTTGTTCCTAATGAGGGTTGGCCTTCGGTCAGGCCCCTCTGGCTTTAACAAGAGGACATCATTCCTGTTCTTACCTTGGCTGGGAAAAACCCGAGACTCTGCTCTCAACTGCCCAACCAGAATCACCACTGTACTTCTGGAATCCAGAAGGAAGGCCTCCAGCCCACGCAAAGGACCCAGCAGAGACAGCCGTATTTATGAAACTTTTAAGGAGGGAGTAGAAAGTCCACCCAACCTCTGGGGAACCCAGAACTATCATTATGTCTAAAAAGAGAAGGCACTGAAGAGCTGACTCCCTGGGCCATTTCATATCTGCTTTAGTAGAACTGCCTTTCTGCATCTTGATCCAACTTCACTGTCAGCCTAGGCTGAAGACTGTTTTAAGAAAAAGCCTCCTCAGCTGCCTGCACCTGCCCTTCAGGCAAGTGAGGGTCATTAAAAGAAACTGAACATTGAAAAAGAGAAACAGCCTCATAGAGATAAAAAGTCCAAGCCAGGAGTCAGTGGCCCACACTTGTAATCCTAGCTACTCAGGAGGCAGAGATCAGAAGGATTGTGGTTCTAAGGCAGCCTGAGCAAATAGTTCATGAGACCCTATCTTGAAAATACTCAACACAAAAAAGGCCTGAGGAAGTGGCTCAAGGTGTAGGCCCTGAGTTCAATCCCAGTACCGCAAAAGAAAAAAAAAAAGTAAAAAGTAAAAAATCCAAAGCTTTCCTGCTTTTGGCAGAATGAATCAAAAAGGCCTGCCCTTTGTCCCAGTAATTCTGGCTATAGGAATAGGCAGTGATTTGCACAAAGATTTTATACAACAAAGTTAATTATAGTTCAATTTTTTAAAAAACAGCATTTTACTATGTAGCCCAGGCTGGACTCAAACTCAAGATCTTCCTGCCTTGAGATCTGGAGTGCTGTGATTATAGGTGTGAACTATTATGCCCGGCCTAGTTTCACTTTTTTCTTTTTTGGCAATACTGTGGTTTGAACTCAGGGCCTCACCCTTGCTAGGCAGGCACAATATCAGTTGAGCTACTCCACTAGCCCTTTTTTGTGTTGAGTATTTTCAAGATAGAATCTCTCAAACTATTCACCTGGGACTGGCTTCAAGCCATGATCCTCTGATCTCTGCCTCCTGAGTAGCCAGGATTATAGGTGTGAGCCATTGGTGCTGGGATTCTAGTTTCACTTTTAATAGAGAAAAAACTTGAAGACACCCTAGAGATCTAGTAATAAGGACTGTTTAGGGACAGCTGTTTAGGAGCTCGTATGCAATATAATATTCTATATCCACTAAAAAGATTCATGTAGGTCTACAGAAAGCTACCATGCCTATGCTACATTGTTACGTAAGAAAGGTAGGTACAGAAAGTTATGGTTCAGTTCGTTTACACAAAATTATATCTATATAATATCCATAGTTCTCTCTCTTTGGTGGTACTGGCCTCACACTTGTTAGGCAGGTGCTCTAACACTGACTTAAGTTTCCAGCCATTTTTACTTTTGGTTATTTTTCATTTAGGGTCTCATTTTTTACCCCTGGCCAGCCTCATAAGGGCCTCCTGGAGTAGCTGGAATGACAGGTGGGTTCAGCTGGAATGACAGGTGTTCAGATAGGCTCTCACTAACATTTTGCACAGACTGGCCTCAAACCACAGTCCTGATCTCCACCTCCCAAGTAGCTGGGATTTATTTATTTTTTTTTTTTTGGCAGGTTTTCACTATGTAGCCCAGACATAGTGAACTCATGCCTCGGCCTCCTGAATACTGGAATTACAGGCATACACCATCTATAGGTTTGGAAGGGTGGTCACCAAAATGTTATCAGCACCTTTCTCTGAATGGTTTCTTCTTTTCTTTTCTTTACCCAATCTCCACCCCCAACACACACACCACACATGCAGAGTATAATTTTAGTAACAAGTGACATTCTTCTTCCGTGGAGTTCCCAGGAATTGATATGAGTACACTCTTGAAGTATATTTTCAGGTAATTTTTGGTTTTTGGTTTTTGGCAGGACTGGGGATTGAAGTCAGGGTCTTGAGCTTTCTAGGCAAGCTCTCTACCACTGTGCTACATCCTAGCCCTCCTTTTACTTTTAATTAGCTTTTTTAGTTAGGGTTCTTTGCTAACTTTGCCCAGGCTGGCCTCGGACCAAGATCTTCTTGTCTCTGCCTCCTGAGTAGCTAAGATTATAAGCATGAGTCACCACAGCAGGCTTTCTTACTTATTTGTTTGTTTGGGTGTTTTGTTTGTGTTTTGAAACAAGGTCTTTCTATGTAGCTCAGACTCACTATGTATCCCAGGCTTGCCTCACACTCTAGAACCTCCTGCCTCAGACTCCCCAATGCTGAAATTTACAGCCCAGCCCAAGCAAACCGTTTGAGAGACTGTATCTTGAAAATACCCTGTGCAAAAAGGGGCTGGCAGAGTGGCTCAAGGGATAGACTACCTACCTAGCAAACATGTGGCCCTGAGTTCAATCCCCAGTACCATAAAAAGAAAAAAAAAAAAAAGAATAAGAAATAGGGCTGGAAGCATGGCTCAAGTGGTAGAGCCCCTGCATAGAAAGTGTGAAACCTTGTGCTCAAACCCCAGTAATTTCTATACATACACACACACACACACACATTTAATATATGTAAATGTGATAAGAAGACTGGTTTCCACTCCAAATATCCAGGTAACTTTGCACAACTCAGGGAAATTTTAAGGATTTCAGTTCCTGCCACTTCCTTCTACCTACCACACCCCCCACTAAAAACAGGACAGATTTGCTTCAGCCCCTCTAATGGGTGTTCATTTACTTTTGGCTACAGGGGAAGGAGGAGGTTCCAGTTCTATAAGATACAAGAACCAGGACTGCTAGAAAAAGAGGATAGTTTTGCTTCCAGGGAAAGGAGAAGGTTTGGAAGAGGTGCATGTGTCACTAGCATCAAATGGTACTGACCAGAGTAATGAGTCCTCAAACCAGCTGGTGACCTTGGGCAAGTCCTTCTTCCCTGTCCTACCTATCACCCATAAAATGAAGCTGAGCTGGGTACAGTGGCTCACATCTGTAATCCTACCTACTCAGGAGGTTGAGATCGGGAGAATCAAGGTTCCAGGCCAGTTCATGCAAAAAGTTCATAAGACTCCATCTCAACCAAAAAAAAAACTGGGTGTGGTAACAAGCACCTGTCATCCCAGCTAGGCAGGCAGCATAAATAGGAGGTCCAGGATATCCCGGGCACAAATGAGAAATCCTATCTCAAACATAACCAAATCAAAAAGGGCGGGCAGAGTGGCTCAAGTGGTAGCTTGAGCTTAGCAAGCCCAGTGCCCTCAGTGCAGACCCCAGTACTGCAAAAAAAAGGAAGAAAAAGTTGGACCAAAGAGTTTCGAACCCTCACTCCATTCCATACTCACCTTTTCTGCCTCTCAGTGATCTCTTACTCACCCTTCAGTTCCCCACTAAAAGGTTGCCCATTTGTCTAAGCCTCCTGTGTCCCAGGCAGAGGGACACTGTCCTACCTGTTGTCGCGTAGTACTTTGGCCTTAGGCCTCTTGATGCATTTAGCATATCCCACTTATTCATTCTTTCCAAAAAGACACATTAAGCACCTGCTCTGTGCCAGGTACTGACTTGAGCCTGGGTATCAGAGAACAAAACAACAGAAATCCCTGCCCCATGAACTCACTATTAGTTGGGGCTGATAAACAAGATAAATGAGTATCTTGATAAAATTAAACAGTGCTAAGTGCAAGGGAGAAAATTTAAGCTGGACAGAGAGTGCAGGGCAGGGGAAGTTTTGACTGAATCACATGATTGGGAAAAGACACCTCCTCCCCCTGGAGAAGGTGACATTTAAACATAGACTTGAAGCTGGGTGGTGGCGCACTCCTGTAATCCCGGCAGCCAGGAGGCTGAGGCAGGAGGATTACAAGTTTGAGTCCAGCCTGGGCTATTTGAAACCCTGTCTCAAAATGCAACAAACAAATAACAACAACAACAAAAACCAGACTGAAAGGAGTAGAGGGAGCAAGCCCTGGAGCGTGTGTAGAAAGAACCATTTGGGACAAAAGTGACAGCAGTTCAAAGGTTTAGCTCCCAGCTTCCATCTCCTCCCAGACCTGGAGGCTCCCTGAAAGCAACCTGTGTCTTGTTGGTCTTATGAACGCTAAGAGTGACTTTTCATGGTGCTGTGTTCTCCTGCCTTCCTCCCCCTCCTCTTAGACTTGCACCTGGCCGCGGAGCTGGGGAAGACCCTGCTGGAGAGGAACAAGGAGCTGGAGGAGTCCCTGCAGCAGATGTACTCCACCAATGAGGAGCAAGTGCAGGAGATCGAGGTGAGAGGTCTGAGGCCCTGCACCTGCTTCCCTTACCCATCAAGTGCCCTTAGCCTTGGCCTCTGGGTACCTTTTTGCAACTTTGCAAAAGGTGCCCTCCCCACCCCTTTTTTTTTGGTGGTACCAGGGTTTAAACTCAGCTTTATGCTTGTTAGGCAGGCACTCTACCACTTGAGGCATTCCAGCAGCCCAAAAAGGTGTCCATCTTAGCAGACACTGCCTTACACAGCTCACAACCTGCATAGCTATCCCAGGCAGCTCTCTTGTGCGACCATCTTTACCCCCAGCTCAGCAGATAATAAATTCCTCAAAGGCAATCTGTCCTTAGGAGTGGGAGGAGGGCCCAGGCAGAGACATTTGCCCTACCTCATTCTAAAAGTTTACGCCAACCCACCCCTCACCCCTAGTACCTGACCAAGCAGCTTGACACACTGCGGCAGGTGAATGAGCAGCATGCAAAAGTGTACGAGCAGCTGGATCTGACCGCCCGAGACCTAGAACTGACCAACCAGAGGCTGGTGCTGGAGAGTAAGGCTTCCCAGCAGAAGATCCATGGGTGAGGGCTGGGCCGAGGCCGGGGGTGGCAAGGGAGAGGCCCAGGGCTGGGTGCATGTGGGCATATGGACTGGTGGGGGACACCCACACACTTCCCTCATAAACCCAGGCCAAAGAAGCCTGTGATGGTACCGAGTTTGCTCTTGTTGATTTTACATGGTTTAACATTTGGTCCACAAGCCTTCTTGAAGCACCCATTATGCACCAAACTCAATTTTAAGCACTGAGGATGCAATGACACTGTACTGCCCTCCAGAAGCTCACATCAGAAAGAGGAGGCAGGCATGTAAATATTTTATTATAGCACAAGATGATAAGGGATAGAAGGGTGACAAGGAACTGAAGTGGCTCAATAGTGATTGGCTCAGCCTGGGAAGATATGGGAGAAGGGTAGCTCTTTGGGCACACAGAGAGTTCCCTGTCTGATGCTCAAGGTTGTCTGTCTCTCCCATGTGCCTCCATCTGCAGGGAGCCAGGGCTGTAGTGAGGAGGCTGCCCCTGTCCCCTTAAAACTGCTCCCATGCGTGTCCCCTCCTCAGGCTGACAGAGACCATTGAGCGCCTTCAGGCTCAGGTAGAGGTGCTTCAAGCCCAGGTGGAGCAGCTGCGGGGCCTGGAGCAGCTGCGGGTGCGCCGGGAGAAGCGGGAGCGTAGGCGGACCATCCACACCTTCCCCTGCCTCAAGGAACTGTGCACCAGCCCCCGGTAGGTGAGGGCTCTGGGATCTCTGAGTCCCAAGAGTGCTGGCCAGGGGAGGAAGATGGGAAGGAGGGTGTTGGTGTCTCATCCAGGCCATCAGAGAAACTGCTCTTAAGGACAGTCATAGCAGCTGCGTTCATGGAACACTGGCCACAAACCACTACTCTGATTTAACACTCACCCCATCCTGCAAGGTGTGTTTTATTTTTCCCCCTTCTCATGAGAAAAATGGAAGCTCAGAGGTTATATGTCTTATCCAAGGTCATGTGTTTAGCAAGAGGCACAGCCAGGGTTCTAATAACCCAGGGACTGTACCTTTCAGTCCCCATTAAATCTAAGACCGATGACTACTTCATGTAAGAATACAGGGCTGAGGATGTAGATCAGTGGTAGAGCGCTTGCCTAGCATGCACAACAAGCTGGTTCAATCCCTGGCACTGGGGAGGCTGATGGTGGGGAGAGGCAGATCATGTGTGTAGTGGGAACTTCAATAAGGTCATTGCACAGAATAATGGAGGGGAGGTTAATAAAGAAGACCAACATATATGGAAACTGAAGCCCCAGGGTTGCAACAGAGCAGAGCAGCTACCATCCCTAGGCCTCCAGGGGGAAGGGGAAGGGAGATTATTGGATCCTAGGAGGTATGGACAGGGCTGCCTGGGAGGCACCAACCAGGGAAAGAGCCAGAGATGAGCACATCCTACCGCTTCCCTCCCACCTGGGACCTTGCAGGTGCCTCTCAGTTGCTGGGCTCAGGAGGAAGCAGGAACTCTGGCTGAGTGCACAGTGGTCAGCTTCCTGGGAGCAGAGAACAGGAGGCACACGGTAGAGGGGTGGAGAGCATTGGAGAGTGGCAGACAGTGGACAAGAGGCCTGAGGCTGCGTTGGGGGGTCTTGGCCATGACCAACGGCCCCCACTGCCTTCCAGGTGTGAGGATGCCTTCCGCCTGCATAGTTCCTCGCTGGAGCTGGGCCCTCGGCCCCTGGAGCAGGAGAACGAGCGACTGCAGACCTTGGTGGGGGTGCTGCGTTCCCAGGTGAGCCAGGAGCGGCAGCGCAAGGAGCGGGCGGAGCGCGAGTACACGGCGGTGCTGCAGGAGTACACGGAGCTGGAGCGACAGCTGTGCGACATGGAAGGCTGCCGCCTGCGCGTGCAGGAGCTGGAGGCCGAGCTGCTGGAGCTGCAGCAGATGAAGCAAGCCAAGACCTACCTGCTGGGCCGGGACGACCACCTGGCTGAGGCCCTGCTGGCACCCCTTGCCCAGGCTCCTGAGGCTGATGACCCGCAACCGGGCAGTGGGGGAGACTCTGGTGCCCAAGACGATGTCTCCTCGCCTGCTACCTCCCCGAGCCACGCAGTGCGCAAGAGCTGCAGTGACACTGCGCTCAACGCCATTGTGGCCAAAGACCCAGCCAGCCGGCACGCGGGCAACCTCACGCTGCACGCCAACAGCGTGCGCCGGCGGGGTATGTCCATCCTGCGCGAGGTGGACGAGCAGTACCACGCGCTGCTGGAGAAGTACGAGGAGCTGCTAAGCAAGTGCCGGCAGCACGGGGCCGGGGTGCGGCACGCGGGCGTGCAGACCTCTCGGCCCATCTCCCGGGACAGCTCGTGGAGGGACCTGCGGGGGGGCGAGGAGGGCCTGGGGGAGGCCAAGGCTGGAGAGAAGAGCCTGAGCCAGCACGTGGAGGCCGTGGACAAGCGGCTAGAGCAGAGCCAGCCCGAATACAAGGCCCTCTTCAAGGAGATCTTTGCCAGGATCCAGAAGACCAAGGCCGACATCGATGCCACCAAAGTCAAGACGCACAGCAGCAAGTGATCCTTTCCAGGCCTGCAGCCTCCTCTGGGCTGCGAGCTGTGGGATTCCTCGTGCTTGGACCGCAGCCTCTGGCAAGCAAGAGAGCTCTTTAGCAGCAATGGGACGTAGCAGGTGGCTGCTCTGGAGGAGTGTGAGGTCAGATCCTTTCATCTGGGGACACAGCATATTTGGGGCCGATGGAATGGCTCACCTGTCCTGCCTCCCAGGAGCCCTTGACCACCCCGCTTCAGCCTGAAGGCACAGCTCGGTTTCAAAGCCAAACGCTCCCCACCCCACTCCCTCCAGGGACTTCTCAGCAGCCCCAGTCCTTGGCTTCCGGACCCTGGGCCTCATTCTCAGATGGTAGCCAGATTTCTGGAGACCATCCTGGCTTTTTTTTTTTTTTTTCCCAAAGTTGTTTTTCTGAGAGATTTGCAATGCGAGGTCATCTTGACCCCTTGCCACACAACTGGAAACACTTGAAAGGGGATCCCAGAGTCAGGTGTTGCTGGTTTCTGGGGTCTTCTAGACCATCCACTGCTTCTCGCCAGCTGTGACATGCTGTCAGTCCCTTAGCACCAGCCGTCTCACCCCCAGAGTCCTGAGCAGGTCACAAATGGCCCCTGCCTTGCAAAGCAGGCAGCCTCATCCAGATCAGAGTGTCCCTGGCTCTAGCCCTGGCAAGGACTTTCAGTTCACCTCAGATCTTTAGCCAATCAGAAGAGGGGAAGAGGGAGCCCCTTGACGGCCATACACAAGTGGTGCCCTGTTTCCTTCAGAGCCAACCTCCTGGAGTTCCAACCCCAAAAATGCCTTCTAGGCATGAAGGCCCTCCGGGGCCGGGATGTGGGGAGCTCCCCATGTCTGCACACCACTTCTGCCTCCCTTCTCTGCACCTGCCCCATCTCAGGGACCATGATGTCTCATTCACTCCATGCTTCCCACAGGCCAGCCCTGGCACAGGTCACATCTGCAGCTCCAAGAATGTCCTAGGCATGTCATCCTAGTGCCCACCCCTGTTCCCCTTCACTGGGGACTGCCCCAGAGCCTCACCCCACATTGACTAGTATTGAATTGAGACAGGGACAAGGAACAAGTTTCCTTCCTCCTTCCTTCCCATAAAAAACTTGCTCTTTCCCTCCCACCTTTGTGGAAGATTTCTGAGGCCCCATATGGCTCAGGGGTTCCATCTTTGGGTTAAGACTTCAGAGAGTCAAGCTTCAGCTAAGAGATGCCCAGGTCCCCAGCTTGCCCTCAGCACTCCTTCAGGCTTCTGGTTCCTTCTGCCACCCTCCCTGACATGCTAGAGGAGCCATAGAATCCAGCAGAATGCAGTGGCCTGGCCTCTGTGCTGGAGCCCAGTGGGAACCTTCATGCCTTATTTCTTCCTAATGGGTAAAGGGGTTTTCTTAACAAGCATGCCTGACATCCCTGGAGATGCCAGCTTTTTCCGGGAGGCACTGTGATGCCAGCTGGCGGCTGGATCCTCCATTCATGCAACTTGGAACCTTTTGTCTTTTGGGGCTGTGCAGTACCCAGCCCTCCATGTGTTTCTGTCATCTGGGGGAGGGGGGGAAGAAAACGGGGAGAGCTCTGGCCCATTTGCTCCCCAGCTCTGTAGCAGCCAACCAGCGTCACCTTTGAAGTATACCTGAGAGAAATATATTTACAAATGCTTTATTCTCTTCTTTAATAAAAAAAAAATGCACCAGTATTCTAAAAGCAGAAATTGCCCTGAAGCCTGTCTCTGTGTCTCACAGGCCTGCCCCCTGTCATGCACTACTGTAGATGAGGGAGGTGTCTGAGCTCCACTCCCCTGTGGCCCTCTGCCTTTCCTCTGAAGTCACTCAGCACCTGAGTTCTCAGCCTCTCCCTGCTCACCTACCCATGCGTGGTATCCCAGCAGTTCTAAACAGGCTCTTGGAGGAAGTCTCCATGTCTACTAAGAGCCAGCTAAAACAGTCACACTGGGCTGATGATAGCCAATAACACATCGAGGCCCTGCCAGGCACCAGTGGCTCATGCCTGTAATCCTAGCTACTCAGGAGACAGTGATCAGGAGGATCATGGTTTGAAGCCAGCCCAGGCAAATAGTTCGAGAGATCCTATCTGGAAAAAGCCCATCACAAAAAAAAAAAAAAAAAGAAAGGGCCAGTGGAGTGGCTCAAGGTGTAGGCACTGAGTTCAAATTCCAGTACCGCAAAAAAAAAAAAATCGGGGCCCCTATTCCATTGGAGTGTACATTCTGGTGTGGGAAGACACAAACACACACACCCCCAAATCAACTAAAAATAAACCAAAATAGGCTGAGTGATGGAAAAATTGGAACAGGAGGGTATACTACATTGGCTGAGGCACATGTGCTCAATACAGACAAACCATTTTTTTAAATCTTATATGTGTATATGCACACACACACACATATATATATATACAGTATAGATATCTGTGATGGTAAAACCTCACAGGGTCCTATTCACCACCATGGCTCAGAAAGTAAAGAAGGAAGTTCCTGCCCCTCCCTCAAGTCAAAGGGAAAGCAAGGCTTTGAACTCTATGAAGGTCTTACTGAAAGGGCAAAGCCACAAAATGACTGGCCTATCACCCAGCTTCATCTTCCAGCAGCTCAAACACCCTTGGAAGAGCGCCCCGGGGGTCAAGCTTGGCCACTAGGCCATCATCAACTCACCTTTGCCATGGAGTCAGCTATGGGGAAGACAACACGCTTCTGTTCCGTGTGGATGGCAAGGCCAATAAGCATATCAAACAGTCTGTGAAGCAGTTCTGTGACACTGATGTGGCCAAGAAGAGAAGAAGGCATATATTTGGCTCATGGTTTCCATGCCTTGGATGTCACCAACAAAATTGGGGTCATCTAAAGGCTGGAGTACAGCTCAGCGGTGGAGGGCTTACCTAGCATGGGTAAGGCTCTGGGTTCAATCCCCAGCATCCCTAAAAACAAAACCAAAAACCCAGTTGGGATCATCTAAACTGAGTCTAGCTGGCTAATGCCAAATTACACTCTTTCACCATAAAAACCCAGCTGCAGCTCAGACCTGCAATCCTAGCTACTCTGGAGGCAGAGATCAGGAGGATGGAAGTTTAAAAAAAAAGTTATTGAGACCCCTATCTCAACAAAGAAGCCAATTGTGGTGGTGCATCTCTGAAATCGCAGCTACTCAGGGAGACGTAGGTAGGAGAAGTTGGAGAAGAAATTGCACCTGGATCTTTGGATTCCTTTTCTTGCTGCCCTCGCCACACACTCCTAGATAAAATGTGGACCCCAGTCCCATCAGCCCATGTGACCTGCATCTGCAGCAAAGCTTCTGAACTTCTCTGGGAGTAGACTGGGGCTGCTGGGAAAGAACAGGCCCCTCCCCCACCATCCAGAAGGAGCAGGGAAGGCGTGGTGTGGGCAGCCCAGAGCTGGACCCCAAACTGGTAGCTACACTGACAAAACAGTATAAGTGGTTTATGCACAGTGTGCTCAGGTCGGTTGTCACCTGACTCCAACGGCATGGAGATCACATGTGGCTTGTACAGAACAGTCACACCTGAGACAGGTGTCCCTCCCTTTTTTTTTTTTTTTTGTTTGGCAGTTCTAGGGTTTGAACTCAGGACTGCATGCTTGCCAGGCAGGCATTCACACCCCCAGTCCATTCCTCAGCTTTTTTTTTTTTTTTTTCCAGACAGGTTCTCCCTATATAGCTCAGGCTGGCCTTGCACTCGCAATCCTCCTCGCACTAGGATTACAGGGGTGCCCAGCTCTCTCCCCTAGCTTTTTTTTTTTTTAGTTATATATTTATTTTTTGCAGTACTGGGGCTTGAACTCAGGGTCTTCACCTTGAGCCACTCCACCAGCCGTATTTTTTGTGAAGGGTTTTTTGAGATAAGGTCTTACGGAACTATTTGCCTAGGCTGGATTCAAACTTTGACCCTCCTGATCTCTGCCTCCTGAGTAGCTAGGATTACAGGTGTAAGCCACCAGTGCCTGGCTCCCTCAGCTTTTGAACTACTCCTCTCCCCTTCTGATCATCTCCTGGACCTTAGCTCTCAGATACTCCCTGCAGCCTCCCGGGGTTTCTCCAGCTCTCTCCTTCCCTGAACTGGCACCTTCCCCACTCCCAAGGCCAAACCCACAGAACCACTGCAGTGGAGGAATCAGTGGGACAGACCTGCCCTGAGCCGAGAGCAGTTGGTCCAGGCAGACAAGAGGTGGTGATGAAGGACACAACTTCCAGGAAGAAGGTGGCAGCTTTGCCTACTCACTCATGCCAACTAGCATGTGCTATACTGACCAGCCCTTCAGGGAAGAAGGAAAAAGGGTCTGGATAGAACTAGTCAGACTGGACTTCCCACCCCAGGGCTGCAGAGAAGAAAGGCTAAGAGTTATTACATCATTGAAAGAAAATTCCTTAACATTCATGAGTGGCAGCTGATTTTCATCGCGTGCTTTGTGCCAGGCCCTGTACAAAGTGCTTTACATGTGTTTAATACCCTCAGGAATCTTATGAGGCAGCTATAAAATTTCTAACTTACTGATGAGGATTCAGAGGCTTAGAGGTTAAGTTAGTAATTCAAGGTCACATAGAAATTTTACAACTCAGGCTTGACCAATTCCATCTGCCCTCATCACACATCCTCTATGTCCCCATAACGTTGAATTGTAAGGGGCTGTGTTGACCCCTCCTGTATGAGAGTCATATCTCAAGTCACAAGCCATAGAGAAGGGGTGGGATCTGGAAGCTCCCTAGCTGTCTTTTTATTTTATTTTATTTATTTTATTTTTATTTTGTTTTGAGACAGGGTCTTGCTATGTAGTCCAAGCTGGCCAGGAATTGGCTGGGATCACAGGTGTGCCAAGCCTTGGTGATCCTTTATCATTCCCTCCTCCCCCAGCCCCCTTGAATGTCCCCTTCCTGAAGTACCATCTCAACCTATGGAGGACCAAGGAGAGGAGGGAGAACACTAGCCTCACATCAGTGTCTCCCTTTCTATGGGTACAGGTGGCCCCTGTCAGGCCTGTTTGTCCCAGAAGTTCCCCTGTTCTGGATGCTCCCCAGCATCCAGCAGCAGCAGGTGAGAGGAACTTGCCAGCTGCTCTCCTCTCCATCCCAGGACAGCTTGCCTCATTCTCTCCTCTACCCCCACCTCTCCTAGAATCCAGGCCACCAGATGGCCTGAGCAGGCTGTGTTTATTTGGACCATGGAAACCTGCAGCTTCATTTTCCTATGGCTGTGGGTCAGTCACAGGCTGGAGTCCAGCCTGCAAGCAAAGATGGCACAGAACGGCTCTGATTTTTATAATTCATAACCTTTAGCCCTTTAACAAAATTAAAGATAAGGGCGGAACAGATTCTGCCTGAAAGCGGGGGGGGGGGGGAGAGGGAGGGACAGGGGGTAGGGGTAGAAATGGCCCAAACAATGTATGCACATGTGAACAAATCAGAAAAAAAATAACCTTTAGCCTTAGACTTGAGCAAGTGTCTAGCTTTGCTCCCCTGAGCAGCTTATTCCAGTCACCATGGAGACGTCTCTATTCCCTCTGAGTTCTTGGGACTAAGTTAGAAAGGGAGGGACCCAGGAGACTTTCCAGCCTAGAGCTCAAAAGAAGTATGTCAACTGCAGCCCTTCCTAGTTTGAGCGTACAAAGCCAGTGCCTGCAAATTGTTTTATTCCCTCAATGATGCTGAGATGGTAAAGGCGTGATTCCATGACAATCTCCTGTTTCAATCAGCCAGCATCCCCAGGAGACACTTAAACCATCCCGGGGCATATTTTTCTAGGTAATTATGTGGGGTTTTTTTCCCTAAAAATAGAACTCTTCATTAAGAAACAACCACAGTATTACTACTAATTACTAACATTTATTAAGCTGTTTTCATTTATACACTGCCTCTCAACTAAGTAATTCAACTAAGGTTTAGCTGTTTTCAAACTGCTGGCTCCACTTGAAACCTTTTCAGATAAAGGGTTTTTGTTTTGTTTTGGTTGGACTGGGGTTTGAACACTGGGCTTCATACTTGCAATGCAGGTGCTCTACTGCTTGAGTCAAGCCTCCAGTCCCAAAACCTTTTCAGAATTAGAACTCAGTTCTGGAGTTCATGCTTTAGCGCTGCTGTAAGAGGACTGTACTTCGCCTGTGGTCCTCTGAAATCTTTACCTACCTCTCCTGGCTGGAAGAACCACCATCATGCTCCCTAAAGCTGGAGGGAGGGGCCCCTGCGATTTGGAAACACGGGGAATAAGCCATCACTACTCACAGATACGCAGCGGCAGGAGGGAGAGGTTGCTCATAGGCTGCCTCGCAAAAAGATCTGAAGCCCTAAAATTCAGCTCTACCTAAGCTCAACTTTCAAAACCACGTTGCCACAGAATTCACTTTATCAGTATTTATGATGTGCCCACGATGTGCCATGCTGTGGAAGCTTGGGATACAGCAAGGACGTGCCCTCTTGGGGCTTCCATTCTGACTGAGACTGGCAATTAAATTAGAAAAATAAGATGACATAGGCAAGGCAAGGATCTCACTCAGGGAGAAGTGATGTTTCTGGGGAACAAGGAATTTAGGGTTCTTTTCTTTTTCTTCCTCAACTCTCCCCCACCCCCCTTTTTTTTTTTCTGTTTGAGACAGGGTCTCCCGAAGTAGCTCAGGTTGGCCTCGAACTTGTGATCCTCCTGCCTCACCCTCAGCTTCCCTAGTGCTGGGATTATACGCATGCACCCCTAAGCCCAGCTGACCTAGGGAGGCTCCCTTGAGAACTCGCTGTCTGGCCAATGACTGCCCTGATACAACCAGGCCTCCCCGAGGAGGTCGACAAGTTTGCAGAGCCAGAAGTCCACCCTGAAGCGGTCGAGAAGCGGGCCCTAAAAGTCGCGCGGAACCCAAGTTCCCAGGGCAGCGCGAGCTTGCGGACCTCGGAGAGAGAGCACGCCGGAAGCGGCCCTGACACCGAAATATGGCGGCCGCCTGGTGCTTGCGCTGGGGCCTGAGCCGAAGCGGAACCTGGTTGCTCCCGCCGCCTACCCGCTACCCGCTCCGGGCTCTGCACAAGCAGGTAGACGGCACTGAGTTCCAGAGCATCTACAGCCTGGACAAGCTCTACCCTGAATCCAAGGGCTCGGACACCGCTTGGAGGGTCCCGGTGAGCCGGGAAGGGCAGCACGGAAAGGGCGGTTCCTCGGGCTGCTGGGTGACGTCAGAAAGCCGGCGCGCCATTGGCTGGGCGTGGAGCTACACACTGGGGCCTCGCGCGCGAAACGTGGAGGTTGTCGCGGAATGGGCGGGGCTGGGATGCAGGCGTGTCCTCGATTCGAGTTGCGCAGGCGGCCGCCAGGAGAGCTCTCGGGACGCGGTTTTCAGTGTTTGTTCCTGATCCTCAGGCCCAGGTGTTTTTTTTTTTTTTTTTTGCAGTACTGGGTTTGAACTCAAGGATTCGCGCTTGCTAGGCAGGTGCTCTATCGTTGAGCCACGCCTCCAGCTCCCAAATTCTTGTACCAAGGGGAAAGGACATTTTGGCCTCCAAAGTGGACAGTAAAGGCAGAAGGTGCAAGTTTTTTGCAGCCTTCTGGCACGTTGCAAAGTCTGTTGTCTCTAGTAACCCCAGTATGCCTGAGGAGATAGGGTTTTGCTTTCGTACCTTCAGGATGCATTTATTTAGCCCGCTGAGTGTATCAGGCCAGAACAGAGGAGAATCCGTCCAATTTTATTGAGCTTGCACCTAGAGGATTGGAAGAACATATAGTATTCACTCATTCAACAGATTTCTATTGAGAGCACGCTGTGTGCACTGTGCTAGGCTGGCGCACAGAGTAGCCAACAGAACAAAAATCCTAATATGGTGCTTCTAGCTTCCTGGAGGGAGATAGGCAAAAAATAAAATAAGCAAATGGAATGTGTGAAATGGTAATTGGAGAAAAGGAACTCCCAAAGGAAGGAGGACTAGAGATAGAGTTGCAATCTTAAGTAGAGTGGTCTGGGAAGGCCTCAGTGAAGAGGTGATATTCAAGTAAAGACCTGAAAGAAGCAAATCAGTGAGCCATGAGACTATTGGGGAGGGAAGGATCAGGGCATGGCCCAAATGGTAGAATGCTTGACTAGTAACTGGGAGCCTTGAGTTCAATCCCCAATACTGCAAAAAAAAAAAAAAATTGGGGAGGTGAGCATCCCAGCAGAAGGAACAATTTACAACCACCTCAAGACTAGATGGGTGTGGCAGAGCAGGGCAGTCAGAGGTGAAGCCAAAGAGAGGGGTGGACTGAAAGACTTTTGTATAGGACTTACTGGCCTTTAAGCTTTCTTCTGGATGCAATAGAGACCTTTTGGAGAGCTGAGGCACAAGAATAGATTGATGCAAACTAGTTTTACAAGAATCACTGTTACGGGTTCGTACGGACAGTAGAGTGGAGGATGGCAAGCACAGGAAGGTGAGAGGAATAGCAGTGATACAGGCAAGAGAGGATAAGGACCGTGGAAGCTGTATGAGTCTTTCTTGTGAATTGATCAGATCCTAGACATTTTGAAGAAGAAGCCCAGAGGATTTGCTAATGGATTGAATAAGAAAAGTGAGGTGAGGGAAATTGAAGTCTAGGGGCTTGAGCAGTAGAAAGATTGAGTTGCCATTAATTAAGAAAGTGGCAACAAAGTTCATTTGTTCATTTATGAAGCAAAAAGTTTTTTCTATAGCTACTGTCAGGCACCGCTCTACTGTTTGAAGCATAGCAGTTACACAGCCATGATTGGCAAAACAGACAGGATCCCTGTTTCATGGAACTTATGCTCTAGTGAAAGGAACAGGCAGTTAAGTGGGAAAACATCAGGTAGGGAGAAGTCATGTAATGAATTGATTGGGGTGCTGTGGTGCAGAATACTTGGGGCTAATTCAGATTGTTAGTAACAGAAGTCCCCTGTGAGGATGGCTGAGGATTGAGGTGTGCATTAGGCCTCTGAGAGGTGACATCAAATAGCAGCTGGGCATGTGGGACTGAAGTTGAACAAAGGTTTGTTTGAGCCAGAAAGTTGGAAGTCACCAACATAGATGAAATTTTCATCCACTTAGAAGGATGGAGTGTTGAAGGGAAAGAGAAGAGAGAGAAGAGAAAGGATTTCAGGTTCGGGTCAGTATGTAAAGATAGCAAAGAAGCCGGGTGACAGTGGCTCATGCCTGTAATTCTAGCTACTTGGGAGGCTGCGATCGGGAGGGTTATAGTTCAAGACAAATAGTTCTCAATATCCCATCTCCAAAATAATCAGAGCAAATGGACTGGAGGTGTGGCTTAAGGAGTAGAGCACCTGCTTTGCAAGTGTGAAGTCCTGAGTTCAAACCCCAGTCCCACCAAATAATAAATAAAGCAGAGAGCTAGCTAGCAAAGAAGTTTGAGAAAGAAAGGCATAGGAAGGATTTCTTTCCTCACCAATTCTAAGATAAAAGGGATGGAGGCAGCCAGAGGGGGTACAGATGAGGAGGCTTTGGGCTTGGAGATCAGAAAAGCAGTCAAGGGGTGGTGTTTGTGCTGGGCTTTGGATTTAAGGCTGCTGGATGAAGAGCTTGGGGAGAGACACAGGTGAGAAGTCCTGGAGTGAGTAGTTCAGTTTGACAGGAGCTGGCAGAGCAGATGTTCCAGTCCCTGTTCAAGGTGGATCGCTTCACTTGCCAGCCTCTTGTGGCCCTGGAAGAAGCAGATGGCCTACCAGGCTTGTCGCTCCAGATTGGCAGAGGGTTTGGCCTGAAAGTCCAGCATAAGGAAATAACCACTTGAGCTAAAGCCGACCCTGGCAGAAGCTTTGGAGTCTGCTTGGTGCATGTGTACTGTGGCTGCACACACCCCTTTACCCTCTTCCCCAGGAGCCAGGCCTCTGATGGTGCCCTGTAAGAGCGTAGGTCTGGGGAGGGATGGCTGGAGACATAAATTCTTTTCCCTAGAGGAGTGTTTCTGAGGTGGACCCTCTGGAGTCTGGGAATGCTTTTTTTTTCTTGTCACTGATATGATGAGTTTGCTGGTTACCAGAAAGTAGTAATATATTCTACTTGTATTGTGTCTTTAATGTCATTTCTTGTGTTGCTGTAGACCAGTTAGTTACACAGCAGGCAATACTTCTTTGACACTGTGTACATTACATTACAGGATGATGCAAAACAAGCCAGCAATGACATCCCTCTAGGTAAGTAATTTTGTTCTATTAAAGATGAGTCATCTTAGGTTAGGGGTGTAGCTCAGGGATAGAGTGCTTGCCTAGCATTTAAGAGGCCCTAGGATCAATCCCCACAGGAAAAAAAGTCATCGCCCCCATTTCTCTCATGTTCTTTCCGGATCTCTCCAGCCCAATTACAGCAAAGAAACCATCTCTGGGCGTGTACACGTGGAACCTTTGCAGCATTGTTTAGGATGGCAAATAAATGATGGCATAGATAGTATCATACACGTGTAGTAGGACTCGGTTTGCCATATTAATGAGGAGCTCTTGATGTGCTGGGACACAGATCAGCCTTTACAATAGATGAACTGATAGAAGAAAAAAGGTGCAGGAGTTCCCATTTGTAGGTCACATATATGCCTCAAATCTGTATTTCTGTATGTGTATATTTATCTGTGTCTATATCTGAAACTATCTGAAATGATGTACAAAAACCTGGGTACAGTGACTGCCATGGAGAGCAAAAAGAAGAGACAAGCTTGGTGACAGGAGTGGGAGATTTATCCACGTAAACCATTTGTGTAACTTTAGAATTCTGTACATGTCAAGAATAGGCGAGGCCTAACAGGTGTGACCTGGAAAGAAACAATGAGCCCGTTTTAGAGTCAGAGAGTTTATGACTCCCACAGGCAGTGAAAGGCAGAGTAGCCAAAGGTGCTGGGTTCAGGGCACTGAAACAAAGAGGCCAGAGACCTTGACACAAGACAGAACACCCTGTGGCAGAGGACAGAGGCATTGCTGCAGCTTGCAGCTGTGCCTGTGGGTGTGTGTAAAGGGAGAGGCAGAACTGGAGGCTAAGGGAAGTGTCTTATGGTAGTCTCCCCAAGGACACAGGCAGTGACCGAGTGGACAGTGGCCTTGGGCAGTTCCTCCAGGCCTCCCATGCTCTCTGGGAGGACCACACAGCATTCCATGCCTGTGGCAGCAGACTCAGCTGCAGTCAGCCTGGCCCATGGGGCCAGCGTGGCGATGTGCAAAATTGCTAGGGCATCATGGTGGAACCATCCCCTCAGTGCCATGTGCTTTTGTCAGAAAAAGGATTTGATTTGAATTTCCCAAAAGAGGAAGGCCTCTCAGAAGCAGTCCCAAGGTGGGGCATGCCACCCACAGAGAACTGCTCCCCACATAGTGCCACAGTGGTCCACTACCTACCTTTCCAGTTCACCTGCTGAAATTTTCTCACTGCCGTACCTTCCCCATCTAAGACGCTACCAGGCTGCTTTGTGCTAGTTATACCCATGGAAGGGAAAGGTGTGTGTGGTTGTGGTACATGCCTGCAGTCTCAGCTACTGGAGAGCTGGAGGCAGAAGGATTATAAATTCAAGGCCGCCTAGGCAAAGTTAGGGAGATCCTGTCTCAGAAAAAAAGAGGGGACCTAGGGACATAGCTCAGGTAGTAGAGCGCTTGACCAGAATGCTCAAGGACCTGGGTTCAATCCCCAGGATTAGGAAGTTTTGTTTTGGTTTTTTTGTTGTTGTTGGTTTTTTTAAAAAAGGAAGGAAGCCTAGCATGGTGGTACACATCTGTAATCCCAGCACTCAGAAGGTAGGGGCAGGAGGATCATGAGTTTGAGGCCAGCCTGGACTACACAGTGAGATCCTGTTTCAGAGAGAGAGAGAGAGAAAAGAAGAAAGGGAGGGAGGGAGGAGAAAGGGAAGAGAGGAGAGAGGGAGGAGAGGGAAGGGAAGGAAGGCTAGGGCATGGCTGAAGTGGTAAAGCACCTGTGTGGCAAGTGCAAGGCCCTGAGTTCAAACTCCAATACTGCAAAAAGAAGAAAAGAAGGAAGAAACCTCATTTTACAGTTGAAAATGAACAAAACTGAGACCCAGAGAAGCAGTGGGATTTTGCCAAGATCACATGGCTTTTGAGTGAGAGCTCCCCATTCCAGATCAAGTCCTCCCTCACTCACGTGACACATGAGTGGTCTCATGTGTCATGAGTGAATCAGACACAGCCCTGCCCTCCTGCACTTGTGCCCATGGTGATTCCACATTCAGTACACTTTGAAATACATTGAACTAAGTCTGTCCTTTAGTTTGAGCTTTTGAAAGAGTCCTTGCTTTAACAAATGGCAAACAGCTAGGACAAAAGGATTTGGTAGAATGGGAAAGACCAGAAGCAGACAACCAAGGTCATGATTTTACTTTCTCTGCTGTCTGTATGACCTTGGGGAAGTCCCTTGCCCTGATTTCAGTTTTGACATCTGTAAACACACTTTTTAGCTTTACTGATCTCCATGTTAACATTTGGTTGTGTGTGTGTGCGTGACAGAGAAATGTGCGTGTCAGTTTAGCAGTTTGCACATTTGACCGTGGGACAATCACTTGTGTATGTTCTTCCTTTGTACAGATCGCTTGACGATATCTTACTGTCGGAGTAGTGGTCCTGGTGGGCAGAATGTTAACAAAGGTACAAGTGCCTTCATGCTTTCTTTCTCTTTAAACTTCAGCTGAAGATGGGCCTGAGGATGAAGCCCTGTATTTATGTTCATGTGAAATAAAAGGATTTTTCAGTAGAAGCTTTCATACCACCAGCTTATAATAATCCTCTTTATTCTTCTGAATGTGGTCTGATTCTCAGGCTCTCAGCTGTGGGTTGCTAGGACTAGGACTGTCTTGTGAAGCAAAACAAAGAGAACTCACAGTGTCAGCTGGCAGCCAGCCCTAAGAACAGGTTGCCTTCATTCTCATGGAACCCATTCCCCTGTTCTTTTCAGAATCCTGTAAAACTACATGAGAAGTGTTAGACCATTTGGTTACCAGAAGTCTGTTTTTGCCCCAAAACACTATCACTGTCTTTGCAGCTCCTTCCCTGGCCAGTTGACATAGGCTACAGTGGGTATGGTTGGTTGGGTGTGTGGCCTCCCATGGTTTCAGAACAATTGCTGGTCCCCTGGGTGTTATACCTTCTCAAGAGTCTCAATGACCTGTGTTCCCTCCTCCTTTCATCCACAGTGAATTCAAAGGCTGAAGTCAGGTTCCATTTGGCAACTGCTGACTGGATTGCAGAGCCTGTGCGACAGAAGATCGCTGTCATGGTACCCACCTGCCTTTCTCTCCGTATAGATCCTTGGCATTTCAATCCTTTACTCTGTGGAACTCCACTCTTTCCTTTCTTCTCTGCAGCATAAAAATAAGATCAACAGGGAAGGAGAGTTAATACTCACCTCTGAAAATAGCCGCTATCAGTTCCGGAATCTGGCAGATTGCCTACAGAAAATTCGAGACATAATTGCTGAGGCCAGCCAGATACCCAAGGAGCCATCCAAAGAAGATGCTCAACTTCAGAGACTCAGGTACCAGGAAATGCCCCAAGTGCCATAAACTGATTTGTGTGGCTAAAGACTGCACAGGTGAGGAATGAGGCAGGGTGCAGTCCGTGAGCCCAGCAGACAAGTAGGGAAGCTGCAGGAAGGAGCGAGGACTCTGACCTGGCCAAGGTGCATACTGGGCACCCACCCGTTAGGCTGCTCTGCTTGCCACTCTTCTCACCACTTTGAAAAGCACTGATTGGGCATCTGGACCTCATTGTGTCTTTTGTTTTCAGGATAGAAAACATGAATCGGGAAAGGCTGAGACAGAAGAGAATAAATTCTGCCATAAAGACAAGCAGGAGGGTAGAGATGGACTGAAATCACCCCATGCAGCCAGCAGAGACCACTGTTCAGGACGTCAGGGCAGCTGCAGCCCAGCAAGCCATCACGCCATGAGATGTCTTTTATTTTTTTGCTGCTAATAGTTGTCTTTACATTGAGGCAATCACAAGAATGTTCATTTGGGGGCTGGAGGTGTGGCCCAAGTGGTAGGGTGCCTGCCTAGCAAGCACAAGGCCCTAAATTCAAACCCCAGTACAGCCAGAAAAAAAAGAAAAAGTTCATTTGGAAGGAGGGTGGCAGGTTTCCCTTAGCAATCACCATGTCATCAGACCTTAGGTAGCTGCAATAAACATCAAGCTCAGTAGGCTTTGCTTCCCATTCAGAGTGCTTCAGAACACAATTCCTGCCTTTTCTCTCAGTGAAATCTGCTTCTTGGTTGCTTCCTTGCCACTGACTATGTCACAGCTCATGGTGGGGCATGGGGTTCTGGGTCTGTCCTCAAGGAGCACACAGTCAGGAGGGCTTTTAAGCTGGGCCTTAGAAAAGGTATAGCGTTTTAATCACAGAGGGGAGGAGCACATGTCCATATGAATATAGGAGTCAGATAAGAGGCAGGGGTGCAGGGGGTGATGAGGAAGCCCATGGTATGATAATGAATGGCAGATTGTGCAGGGCTTGTGGGAGTTTTACCTGGAGAGGTAGATGGAGGCTCAGATTCAAGGTAAGGAGTTTAGATTTTAAGGAACGCAGGTAAGCTGACATAGTGGACTAGCAAGCCTGAGTCTCTGAGTTCAAACCCTAGTGCCACCAAAAAAAAAAAAAAAAAGGCGCCAGTGGCTCACACTTGTAATCCTAGCTACTCAGGAGGTAGAGATCAGGAGGATCTTGGTTTAAAGCCAGCCCTAGCAAAGAATTCAAGCGACCCTATCTCAAAAAAAAAAACCCATCATGAAAAAGAACTGGTGGAATGGCTGAATGGCTCAAGGTGAAGGCCCTAAGTTCAAACCTTGGTACTGCAAAAAAAAAAAAGTGGAGATAATAGGGACCACTGAGTATTTTGAGTGGGAGGGAGTGTTGTGTGTTAAGCAGTGGGCTTCAGAGGCAGGAAGAGTGAGCTGAGATTTTTGCCATCATTTGGATGTGGGGATAAGTACTCAGGCCAGCATGACAGTAGTAGGTTGCTCTGGCATGTATGAAGTTCTTAGAATGTTCTGGATTATTTGGTCAAGTTCTCCCATTTGACAAATACAAGATAACGCCCTGTAGTAGTATACACTCTGGGACAGGGTCCTCCTTCGTGTCAGTGAGGCCAGATGAGGGGAAAGCCATTTATAGGTGACTTCAGCACATACAGCTTAGCAGTGGCCGAGGCTCAAATGAAGGATGTGCAACATTTCACTAGTTCTTTCAGTAATTGAATCAAATTCAATGTTTGGTGCATGCCACGCATTGAGTGAGGTGAGGAATCAGCAGACCAGAGAAAGTCGTCCTTCAACATTTCAGCAGGTAACATCAAAAGCTGGGAAGGAAAACAGATTCCTCTTCCAGTAACATGACCTGAAGTGCAGTAAATGGCAGGAGACTGCAGGGGGTGGAGGGGTGCTTACAAATCCTAGGCCCACGGATGGGAAGAGTTGGCCAGGCAAACAAGGTAACATTGTGTCTCTTGGAGGCACCATGTGGGCCAAGGGGATGGCAGGGAAGATGGGGACAACTGGGCCTGCCTGCTGCTGGGACAGTCAGAGCCTCTCCCTCAGCTGTGGCCCTCTCTGAACCGAGCCTCTCTGAACTCTAGTTTCCCAATAAAGTAAGGATGATGTCATTTGTGCCTACCGTGCAGGGTTATTGTGGAATCTAAATGACTAAAGAGGCTAAGGCACTGAAGATACCAAGGGAATGGCAGCCATGATTTCTAGCTCAGTTTGGCTGAAACCCAGGGGACTGAGAAAGGCGAGGCTGCCACATGGAGTAAGAGGAAGATTTAAATGACACAACCAAGCCATGTAAACTTTACCCCTACAGAGGCTGTCAGGGAACCACTAATTTGCCCGTGACAAGATGAGGAAAGACTGCAGGAAAGTGGGAAGGGGTGGCCAACTGAGTTGTGTGAGCAGGTGGGGACCCATTCTCGAACAGGGGCAGAGGCAAGGGTAGAGAGGAAATACCAGCTGTTGGAGGACTCGGGACAGAGTTTGGTCTGGGTCATGTGGGAGCTGGGGTGTGGTGGGATGATGCTGTGCACTAAGACACCAAAGTTGGCTGGCTTGGGGAGTGATTGGATGAGCCTGTTTTGCCTGCAGGTGCTGAGTGTGAGCCTGGGGAGGTGGACAGGTGGAGTCTTGGGAATGGAGAGGACCAGTTGAGGAGAAAGGCAGGGCAGAGCCTGGAGACACCAGGCCAGATCTGGGCAGAGGGAAATCAAGGAGGCCCTGTGGGTTTACCCTGGAGCCTAGTGCTGGACCTGGAAGCCCTTAAGGCATCTGGAAAAGCCTGAGATACACAGTAGGGAGAGAGGGGTAAGGAGAAACAGAACCGGCAGGGGGCAGAGAGTAGAGCCCGCCCTTAAAAAAAAAATAGGACTGGTCTCAAAGTCTTTTTGTTTGTTTGTTTGCATTTTTTAACAGCACTAGGGCTTGAACTCAGGGCCTTTATATTTGCTAGACTTGCTAGGCCTGCAGGTTACCACCTGAGTCACTCCTCCAGCCCTAGGACTGGTCTCAAAGACAGTGTTAAGTGAAAGAAACCAGACTTTACAAGACTGTGACACCACTTACATGAAATTCAAGTCCAGGCAAAATCACTGTGGTAAGGAAAGGAGGGAAGTGGCTGGCAGAAGTGGGTAGGGGTTGGAGGAGCAGAGGGTGACCATTGACTGGCAGAAGGCACAAGGACCCTCTGGAATGCTCTGTCTTGGTGGAAGAGACTAGTATATTTGCACATACACATGGAAAACAACTTCAGTCCTCCCTCCCTCCCTCCTTTCCCTCCTTCCCTTTCTTCTTTTTGGTGGCAGTGGGATGGAACCTAGGGCCTTTCTACACTTTTGCACCCAGCCCTTTTGCACCCAGCCCTTTTGCTTGTATTTTGTTTTTTTAGATAAGTGCTCACTAACTTTCCCCAACTGGTCTCACAGTCCTGATCCTTTGCTTCCAGATTCCTCTGCTGAGGATTACAGATGTGAGCCACCATGCTTGGCACAGCCTCTTTAAGATCTGTAGTTACTGCCTGTAAAACCTCATAGTCATTGACTTAAAGGAGGCTGCCATTCTAAGGAGAAAGTAGCTGCATTTCTGCAGATTCTACATTTTGTAAAGAGAAGCAAAGGGAAATATCCCCATGTTCCTTTTACCCTATGAGATCTCAAAGGCGTCATAACCAGGGCTAAATGCTTCCCTTGGCTGAAGCTCCATCTTTTGGATGTATGTGGATCTTAGTGATGTATTTTAAACTCTTAAAAATGTGTTTATTCTATTACATGCCTGAAGCGTGGGCATATTAGACTCCGATGGGTTTGAAGGAAAGAAAAACTGTATCTACAAATACGTATGATATAGATCGTTTCTATTCTGACGGAAAAGATTGCGTGCATCCTCTCACGATGGGGAGGATTTTCAGTGTTTAGGTTTCAGCGTTGTGATTGCCCTTTGGCATTCTTCAGCCCCAAATTCTTGGATTCCCTATCAGCTCTTGTGAGATGGACCCGAGGCCCAGGGCAGTTGTCCTGCACCTGGTTCAGGGGTTCAGGCGACCCCCTGGTTGCACCTATTTGAATCCTTTTTGACAGAAGCAGTGCAGCACCGCCCATTAGAGAAGAGACAGGAACCGGTCACCGCAGGCCCCAGTGGCCTAATGGATAAGGCACTGGCCTCCTAAGCCAGGGATTGTGGGTTCGAGTCCCACCTGGGGTAAAGGTGCTTCTTTTAGCTTTTCCCTGTCTCTATTCCTGTCCCCAGGCACAAGGGTCGCATTAAGAACCCGGGAGAGGCCAGGCGACTGAGCTCAAAGCAGCTTTCACCAGGGGCAGATTCCCAGATCGAGCCAAACTCCCGAGATTTGGAAACCGGGAGGTTAAATATCACTCAGATCGCCTCCGCGGGCCACGCAAGAGGAGTCCTGCAGAAGGGAGGGGGCGCGCAGAGGCTTGTGCGCCAAAAGCTTCACCCCAGGTGGGACTCGAACCCACAATCCCTGGCTTAGGAGGCCAATGCCTTATCCATTAGGCCACTGGGGCGTGACAAAAAAACACGTT